TCCCTCAGTACTCAAGGGTGGAGATCGCCTGGACCAGCTGATTTGAATACATCCAGTCCCTCCAGAAGTTCCCTAACTAGATCCTCACTAACCCTTGGCCTAGGTGCGCCTTCCCTGGGGTGTTAGGGGCGCCCAGAGGGGGGTGGCTGTTCCGGTCCCTGCTCAGGAAAATGGAGGCAAAGAAATCGCTAAATATATTAGCTTTGATATCTGGTGTGACTACCACATTTCCTAGCATGTCTTGCAGGGGCCCCATGTTACCCGGTACTTTCTTTTTGCCCCCTATGTATTTAAAAAAGGACTTGCTGTTGTCCTTGATCTGGGAAGCTACTCCCAGTTCCATCTCTGCCTTGGCCTTCCTGACTGTCCCCCTGCATTTCTGAGCAACCACAGTATAATCCTCCCTGGTGATGGCCCCTCCCTTCCATTGGGTGATGCCTCCCTTTTAGCTAGGAGACATTCCCGGATGCTTTTGGTGAGCCATGGGGGCTTTTGCGCCCTCCTGCCCCCTTTGATCCGTGTTGGGATTACCTCCCTTTGGGCCTGGAGGATCGTCTCCTTAAGGAGCGACCACTCTTCTTGGACACCTGGCTCCCCTCCCCTCCAGGACCTCAGTGCTCCAGGACCTCAGTGCTTCCCCAACTATTCTCCTTATTTGTACTGTGTTTAGAAGGAAGGCTTTGAATTTTGAGTGTGTATGTAATTCTTATCTCCTCTGCCTCAGGTCATGCTGAAAAACACGTAGATCCCTGACTGTGGGATGTTGGAGGTGGGATAGACCCAAGAGCTTAGATCTTTCAGCCCGGGCCTATCCTGCCCTGGATCGTAATAGGCTAGACTGGATATTAGCCCAGGGCTGCTTCAGAACAGAGATCCCTCATGGGACGGCTACTCTAGAACTGCAGACCCTGGGAGCCTGAGATTTCTGATTTCTAAAACCCCAGGAGTCCTCGCTCCTAATATATGACCCTATTTATGGCCAGCCAGAGCTCCCAGGCTGCCAGCTTTATGTCATAAAACACAGATCACCTGTCCTGAGAGCAGTGGGGTCTCCAGGTTCCCTGACAAGCAGCCTCAAAGCTCTGAGAGTCTCTTTGTTTCTCAGTGTTCTCAGACCTTCCAGACTCATGTGACCCAGGAACTTGGATCTTGAGACCCTAGTTAAAGCATGGTTTTCCAAGCCTGCCGAACTCCCTGCTGCAAAACCATGAGTCGAGATTTTGTGAAGATACTCTAGGACACACCCATCTTAATTTTCCCAGTGAACTTGTTCTGAAGTGGAGCCAGACAGAGAGAGAGAGAGAGACTTATGTTTCAGATCTCTGCTGCCCTGGCTTTTGTGGTCATTCTCGAGCCATTTTAACAGAAACCTTCAAAAGTTCAGCTTGAGGCAGACACCTAGTATGGAAAGTTTCATTCAAAGTGGTTGATGTTATAAGCCATTATGTAAGGAAAAGTGTAGGGTAAATTTAGCTAGAGGTCTTGGGACCTGCTCTGCCTGTCTGAGAAATCCAGCAAACTAGCACTATGTTTTTTTCTGTAACTAATTCAGTTTTTCTGTATGTGTTTGTGCAAATCTTTTTTGTCTCAGATAGAATTAATGTAGTGGCCTGATGAATGGCATTGGTACACAGGCATACTTGAAAATGAGGCAAAAACAGATGCCTGTTTAGCTACTGGAGGTATTTTAATGTATGCAATCAAATGCTTAGTAATCTTCATATTCCTTGCAGCCATTTCTAATAAATGATTTTTGGATTTGTCACAACACAGCAGGAGGAGGGTGATTATGTAGAAGCTATTATTTTCCTTGCTTCCATTGTTTTTCCTTTAGTTCCACCATGCTACAGAATTTATGAGGAAGTCTGGGTTAAATGTAACACAATCAGATGAGTTTAGTTATACACAGGCTCCTTTAGCTCAGAGTTGAAGGATTTGGGGACTTGGAACTTGGTGGATTCAGATTCATTCTCTCAATTAATTCCACATGTACTGATGCTGGCCTATGATATGGACAGTATCTGTACTCAGATCACTGTCCCTTATGAAGGACTTTGTGTATCTTAAGAGGTAGAGCAATACTTTTTTATCCCTTTGCACCAGACAGTTACTGCCATTTTTATGCACAGCATTGTTAAAACGTCCAGCACAAACCAGCATGTTATTCCTTCAAATTCTCATTATGATAAAGCGTTTTTAATGTCATGGGCAGGAGCACAGGAGCGTAGGGATGCCGAGTGCCAGAAAGCAGTGTGTGTGTGTGCGCGCGCAGGCACACGTGGGGGGGGGTGTGTGTGTGTACATGTCACATGTGTATGGGTGGCATGCCAAGCTGCCTCTGCCTGTGCTGTGGCCTCCTGCTCTGCAGCAACTGCTACCGCTGTGCAAGATGCCCTTCTATATCGGTGTCTGTCACCCTCCCCCGCCACACAGTTATGTTAGTGGAAAACAACAATAAATCCTCCAGTTATTTCTCTCCTAGTCCTCTTTGTCTTTCATACTTCAGGCTTTGCAGGGCGGGGACTCTATCTTTGTGATTTGCACAATGAAAAAGGCACTGCTGGTGCTTAACAGATAATGTTGGCTCATTGCTTCAAGCTCATGAAAAGAAGTGGCAGTTCTCAGAAGTGGCAGTTTTCAGCATGCAGAGCTGTACTTTCCTTAATTTTTTTCACCAGGATAATAATTAGTGTCATGTCAGTTGCTTGTGATGTCAAGGAATGGGGGAAAGGGACTGTCTTTGTGTGTGTGTTTGTGCATTTGTGCATGTGTACTTTTCTTTTCCACTGGTACTTATGTTAACCTGTTTTGATTGCTGGTCATTAGCATTCCCCTTTTGGGAAAAACCTTTGTTGACTATATATCTGTATTGTAGATTTGTTGAGCGTTTACTAATGTGTTAGAAGAGTAGTTTCCTTGGTACTCTTTCTCTGTTCTCATAGGTGTGGTTGCATAATAAGGATTGTTATCTGGTCTTCATTTAATTACTGAATATTACTCCATATTAAATTAGAAGGTTAATACTTCTCAAAGAGCCTGTGGGATTTTTTGTACTTCATATGTGTTGTAAGTCTTTTTGCATGAGATGGCCTCATGTTCTTCAAGAGAGATTTAGAAAGCTGAGTTATCTGATGGGCAGCATGGAAGAAAGATGGGGTGCCATTGTAGGATGGAATTTCTTGACAGAATAGGTAGTGCAGGGTACAGAGTTTGGGGCTGCCTGATGTTATGGGTGGCATGGCTTTGAGGCATGGAGTGTATACTGTACTCAGGTCTACAAGTACCTCAACTACTGTGTTTGCCTAGCGATGTGCTGGAGATTTGTGGTAATGGTTTGGCTTTTGTTCAATAACTTTGCAGTGCAGTGCCCTGCCTGTCTTGCTAGACCCTGTAATTGCCAGCCTGGCAGAAAGAAAATAAGGATAGCATCTAGTGTCCAAAGAGTTCCCCTTTCTATCCTCTTCCTTTCTTTCATCCCCTACCTCCTCCTAGTGCTATTCAACAGGACAGAGACTCTGTCTAGCTTTGGATGGCTGAGTCTTTGCTCTTCGTTTTTTGGTTCCTGCTTATTGATTCCTAGTCATTCTGCTTCCCCTCATGATGGCCATTGAGGTGTGAACAAGGGGAATGTGAGAAAACAACTGAGAGAGAAGTGCTGTTCTGACTAGTTTCCCTGTGTACCAGACCTGTGTCGGGGAAGAATTAGTGCTGCAGCATTTAGTACAACACTTTGTCTTGGGATAAAATAGTTTGTCTCCAGACAAAAGTGATGTTTGCTTGTAGCCACAGACTTCCAGTCAGTCAACAGGCCTAGTAGCAGAAGGCTGCCTAATGTCCTATTCCTATCACAGTAATGGTGGATGCAATGGTAGTAGTGTGTGAAAAAGTCAAAGAATTGAGATGACACAAGGCCAAGGATCTTGAGGACACTTGTCATGGGAAAGAAAAGGTTGAATGAGGAATGAGCAGCTCCATCTTCTCCCCTCTGTGCCAGGGACTGGAAAAAGAATATTGAGGGCTGAAAAAAATCCAAATTACCCTCCAAAATTACTGTAGAAGGTAGAGTCATTAAAGTATTTTAAGAAGTGTGCAGGTGAAAGACAAAATCTCTGGAAACCACATACACACTAGGAACAAATGTATTTGTCCTGGAACTGAAATGTCTCAAGATTGGCAAGTACAACATTACCTGTCAGCTGTAAGCTGCTGAATGCATTATTGTTTTTCTGCAATTGATTCAATGATGCCATCCTGGGCCAACTGTTCAGACACACTTCAAGATGGTCATGGAAGACTGCATGGCTGCACTTTGTCCTGGGATAAGATGCTATATCCTGGGACAAATATGATGCCTGTTTGTTGCCACAGACTTCCAGACAGTCAACAGGCCTGGTAGCAAGAGGCTGCCTAATGTCCTGGAATAGTTCAAATTCCTAGTTAACCAGTCTTGTCCCAGTGATACCCTCCCTATGTAACAAATTGTGGTCATTATCATTTACATAGCACATGTAGCAGAGGTGCAGAGTTTTGCAGCCAACTCTTCTAGGTTTACACAATATATAGATTACCTATGTTCTGCCCTTAACAAATCCTCTGTGACTAATATGGATAGTAAATGATACACGTATTAATAACATTCTGTAATGAAAGAAAATGATATAATTTATTTCATTGATTGGCTAATGGAACAGTATAAAAATATTGACTATTCCCAATGTCCCTGCTTAATCTTATTTTTAATACTGTTTGTAGGAGCTCTCAAACCTCCTGAATTATAAATTTAGGGCAACAAGGCAAGGGCCTCAAAATAATAGTGGATCAGCTGGAGCTGAGGCAAAGGGGGGCTAGTCAAGGAAAACATAAACCCTCAGTCAAGATGGCTTAGAGACAGCCTGGTTAATGTTAAGTCTTATGGGAACAGTAAATACTGCTCCGTCCTCTCCCAAAGAGACAGACAGGCAGATTGTGAGTAAAACAACAAACTTCCTCCACCCCAAAGAAAGAGACAAAGAAATGGTTAAGTGAAATCAGGATTTTTTTTCCCTTTCTTTTAAAGCAATGAGATTTTCCCTGTACTTTCTGCTCAGGAAGATGGTGTCTCTTGCTTTAGCTACCCTGGCTTTTCATGGTTGTAATCATCTCATGGACCTTCTTGTTAAGGGCTCCTCCATGGATTCCCTTTTTACCCATGAGGAAGACTAAGGCTTTGGGAGTCTTGCCAATACAGATGGACATGCTGTCACCCCCTTTGGTTCTGGCATCCATCACAGCATCTTTGTCCACCAACAGGTTGTCACGGATCACACTGCACTTCTTGCCGGCTATTGTAATCCCAGTCTGCAGGAATGTTTTCCTGTCCTGACCTGTGATCACCCCCACTTCCTGAGGTGAGATGGCAGCAAGTACACCTCCTGGCTTGGAAGCCCACACAGACTTGTTGTCCAAATGCCCCACAATAGCTACATCTTCAATGTTCTTGTCCTTGAGGATGGTGTTGATGTAGCTCTTCCAGTCACCCATCCTGTCAGAATGCCTCTGAAATGATCTCAGCCAAGTATTGGACCTCTCTTTTTGTCTTCTGGTCTCTGGGACCTTAGTTCTTTCAAGCTAAGCCTGGAGATCCTGAGCTGCAGAGGATCCTGGAGAGTTTGCACTGAGGAACTAGAATGATACAACAGATGCTACTCTTGCTTTACCAGTCAAAGACATCTGTCCCTGTGAGGCAGCTGTCATCTGTATGCTTAAACAGTTGCTAGGAGTCTCTCTGTGATGTCAGAAGCATCTGTCATCATGGCCTATAGTGTATTATGATGTAATATGTCTTAAAAGTAAAGGCAGTTTTTATTCTCTGGATGTCCAAAGATGTTGTTTGTACTTATCTCCTCTCCTACCAGACAGGGATATTCCTATGACCCTCTTTTTCTCTTTAATTAGTGCCTTCAAGTAAAATGAAAATTCCTCAATGGTATCTCACAGGACTTGGTGCTGTAAGGGCTGAAAGTGAAAGGATACAGATGTACAGATATAGTAACATAAGCTTAAAATGAGGAAGTGCTGTGTCCTGTAGTTGAAGGTGTTAAAAAAATTTTCAGTGTGTATTGGATCTGATTTTGCCCACTGGATAGTTCAAGGGGAGGACTCCATACTCAGAGGCAGAATTTCTCAGACACAAAATTGTCCAACCATCTCCAAAGCCCTTCTGGCCCTCTTTCTATGTCCTGGTCTAGAGACATAATCTCTTGATCTGGAATATCAGAAAAGAGAACGGGACATGCAACATGGCTTACTTACACTTTACAGCTAAAATATACTTTGTTTTTCACAGCACCTGTAGGTTTTGGGGTGGGCAATGAAAAACCTACAGGATTTTGGGCAGAAACTCATTAACATGAGTTTGCTGTGGCTTCAGGTGGTAACTGAAGTAGAATTGAGCCAAATCAGCTCCTTAATCTGAACATTTCTGAATTTTGGATCTGAATCTCAACCCAATCCAGATTTCATCTATAGAGTCCAAACCAAGTAAATGTGGATCAGTTTTAAAATCTTACTTATAATTCAGTCAACATCCCGTTATGGAAACATGACCTCCCACATACTTTGTATCAGGAATCAGGGCAACAGGCAGCAAAAATTACTCCTAGCTGGCCCTAGTTACCTTAGTGGGGTTGGCAGCCAGTGGGCTAACTACTTTCAGCTGGTCCCACTGGCCTGCATGGTTGTAGCTCCCAGCTTAAAAGCAGCAAGTATTTCCGCTCAGCAAGTTAATCAATAGGACAGATATTCTGTTTAGCTTTGGATGACTGAGTCCTTGTTCTTTGTTTTCTGGTTCCTGCTAGCTGATTCCTCTGGTTCATGGCTCTTGACTTTGCAGTTGCCCATGTCCTAGTCTTTTACAGCTGACTGCTGTGGACCACTTGGCAAACACCTCTGGTCCAGATCTGGCTTGACCCTTTTGGCTCTAGCTAGGTGATGACCTATATCAAACCTTGGCATCCTGATCTTCTTGCTCCTGATCCCCTGGACTTTGAACCTTTTCTGTTCCTGACATTGTCTGCTTCTGATCAACAGGGTTGTGACACTCTTAGGGTCAAGTCTTTGGTGTCCATATTGAGGTGGTACCCTTGATATCATGTCTGAGCCAGTCAAACTTTCTCAGTTCCCTTATGTAGTGGCAATACCATCTGAGCACTTACATAGCAGTGCCACATTCATACCAATTTGAATATGTCCATCAAAGTAGATTTGATTATCCTTGGGAAAAAATACATAAATAATATCAATGTTGTGAATTCATAAGTGATAATTCTTATTTAATGTCTTGAAGAAACCATTTCTGAGGATTTGGGAACAATTTGTAAAATCTTCAGTTCTGGCCTTTTTCTTCTGTTTGCCATATATTTTTAGGTGGGAATAGTTAACCTCTTCCAGGTAAAAATTGATTTTTGTGGGTGCATGTGTGATGGGAAGGATTTTTGATGTGCTCTGTGCCTCAGGATAGAACTTCATTGGAACCTCCTGGATGCTCACTGTTTCTGAGGAGAAAACAGTTGTTCTAAGCACCTCAGAAAGTTTAAGTGCCTGAATTCAGATTTCCATTAAAAACAAACCAACCTACCAAAATGCTCGAGATGCTTAGAACTAAAAACAATTACATATAAAGGGCATAACATGTTCGGTATTTTCTAATCCATACTTTTTTTTTACTGCTGCTCCTTCTTGAGCTGAAATTTTGATTGAGCTCTGCAAAGTAATGCTCACTTCTTTTTCCTAAACATTTACAATAAGAAATTATCTCCATGAATCATGCAGATAATTCCTTTCAACATGCATTATCCTAAATTTGTTAGCAATGAATTTAATCTGCCATCACTAGCTTGGTTGGGCCCCTCTGAAGTTTTGCACAAAACTCGTAATTAATCTGAATAGGTTTGTTTTATTTGCAGATCTGCTCCCTGGTCACTCTTTCCACCCCCACTACGCCATAAACATTAGTTTAGATTAATTTAATGAATGACAGTCCTAATAAAATATATGTTAACAATCATGTATAGGATTATGTGACCCACTATTTGTATTTTGTCGGGTTGAAAATTGATAATTGATATTCATGCTCCTGTTTTCTGTCTCCTGGCCAGCATTCTTTGCTTCTCCCATCCCAAGACCATCTAATGGCTTTTTAAAAGGCCTTTGACAAAGGCTTTTGGATAGTACAAACAAATTGTCTGCATTTTTTTTGCTTGTCTATGATATGCTGTGAATAAGAGTTCAGCAGGGGAGGTACATGCCTGTCTGTCAAGTGGCTTGTGGAGAGAAGTATCAGCTGTGGTAGATGCACAGACTACATTTCTGTTAGAAGCCTGCTCATATAACTGAATCACCATACTGACCATATTTCTGGATATTGACTTGAGGATCTGATTACTGAGGCAATATATACAGTCCTGAGGCAGGGACTTGCTGGGCACTGAAAGTACAATGTGAGCAAATAAAGTGGTAACAGAAGCATGCAATAGCAAAATAGGATCATAGGAAAATAGAGCTGGAAGGGACCTCACTCACTGCTCAAGGTAGGATCCTTCTTGACTAAACCATCCCAGCCAAGTATCTGTCCAACCTGTTCATCAAAACTTCCAAGGATGGTGATTCCATGATTTCCCTAAGTAGCCTGTCCCAATGGCTCTCCCAACTTGTTTTGACCACTCTCATGGTCAGAAAGTTCCTTCTTATCTCCAGCCTAATTTCCTTTTTCTGTGGTTTGAGGTTTTTGACAGGCATGGAGCCACAAGGAAAGACTTACCTTGACCGGGCGAGGAGCAGAGTCGGCGGAATGCCATGCTGGAACAGAAGCGCAGTGAAAGTGAAACTGCGGCAGGGAAAAACACTGCACTAAAAGAAAAAGAGAAAAGGGAACAGTGGAGCCGGGAGGAGCCAGGGCCAGCTTCCGTGTCAGTGTGAGCATGCTTTATGGTAGCATGCCGGTGCCAATTTGCTGGCCAGCTCCTTGGGACTGGGATAAAAGGCCCGGCAGAAGAGCAGCTCGGGGGACCGGAAGTGAGTTCTTCAATGGGCCCAGAATGGCCTGGAGCAGAGCAGAGTCCCACTGAAGGGACATGGTGGTTGCCCCAGGAAGGGGCCTTTAAAGATAAACAGAGCCATACAAGGCTCAGTGACTTACCTAAAGAAACACCATGGACTCCAGATATCTCCCACCCAGACTGGATCCAGATGAGACCTGAAGGGACAAGGAGAGAGGGACATCTGAGCTGTGGTAAGTATAGAGCCAAGAGGGAGAGACGCTGGGGAGCAAGGTAACAGAGGGTTGGAAAGGTGGTTAGGTGGGACCAAATACAGTCAGGGGAAAACTCAGATGAGATAGCATCCAAATCCGACAGGCATAAATTCAGAAGACCGGAACACCAGAGTCTATACTGTACCAGAACTAGCAAACTGGAAACAACATCTTTGGTTGGCATTAGGTGGGGTGTAGTGGAGGCGGAGCCCCAAGCAGGAACAACAGTTGGGAAGACTGAAGGAAGGCACCAGGAAAGGTGGGACAAACTATCTTCCTCCCAATTAAAATAATTTATTTTAGCAAGACATGGCAGATGAGGCCCCCTGGGGAACCTTCCAAGATATGACCCATTAACAAACTGTCTCTTCCTCAAGCAACGGTGAAACCAGAAAAGCCCATACAGACAAGACGCATGGGTGAACGGCACAGGAGTCTACAAGGTTGTTGCTTCTAGTCATGTCTCTTAGAAAACAGAAAGTTTGGAAAAATTGTCTTTGCTAATGCCTGGAGAGAGAAAACAAGGAGAAGGAATCCAGTTAGGGAAACAGGAGATGGAGAGGTTGGAATAAAGTGGGCTCCAGGCATGGGCAGATCTAGAATTTTGAAAAGGGGAGTGCAGACGATGAGGTGCATCATCACATATAAAACAACACATATTTTTCTCCAGTTAAAAATAAACTAGAAGCTTTACTAGTATGCTAGGGGCCTAAGGCTGCATTTTTCAGTTTAGGATTGAAGCAAAAACAAATATAACTTCATTGGACTGAGTTAAAAACAGTCTACAGGGCTGTGAAATAGGAGCTTCATGAGCAGGAGCAGTGAACAGACAGCAGAATTTCAGAACAAAGGATAGTCTGATTGGTGGGACATCAAGACCATGGAGAAGAAGAAAGGGTTATTAATACCTATGAAATGAAGAGTTTAGAAGATACCAGGTAGATTATAATGAGCCATGAAGTGAAGTGACTCCCTCAGCACTGCCTGACTGGAAGTGTTGCTGCCATGGCCAGGCAGTTAGTTTTAAACTATGGATGGAGCAGGAATCAAAGGGGGCTGCAGGTACTTCAGTACACCCCACGCTTGGATGTGCCCTGGCTCTGGGACAGCCCCAACAATTCAGTGGATCCATGACCCAGGGAAACAGAAGCAGGAATCCTTCCCCACCAACAATCAGATCCTCATTTTTTTATTTGCAAAAAATAGCTATTTCTTTATACATAAATAAATATACGTATACCAC